CGACCGCACACCAACCCCAACACGTGTTGGGGGGGGGGGGGGGGGCAGGGTTTTTAACCCGCACGAGGGGGACATCGTGCCCCACCGTCCCCAACTGCTGCTGGGAGAGCCACCCCCCAACCCCATCCCACCTCCTCCTGCCACGCCAAGGGGCTCTGGCTGCTTGGCTGTGCCACAGCTGGTGCCACAGGGACCCCGTAACCGCCCCCTGCACCGGCCACGCCACCAACAGCACCCCGGTTACCGTGGCAGCGGCACACGGACACAGCGCGGGGCGCGGGAGGGAAGGGCTCCCTGCAGTCAGAGGAGGGCACGCACCTGCCTCAGGCTAACTGTCATTTTATTAAACAGCAATTAAAAAGAGTGCAGAGGCCCAGACGAGGGGCAGGGGTCCCGGCCCCACGCGGTACACGCTGCGGTGACGGGTGAGCAGCGGGCGCTGCCGTGGGCCCGGCAGGACGCAGCCGGCAAGTCGGGGGCCACGAGCTTTCGCCCACGGGGGGGCTTGGCAGCCGCTGGCACACAGGCGCTGGTGAGAGTGGGAGGAAACACCCCCTTGGCAGGACAGACAGGACGTTGGAAGCTGGTATTTGTCTGCCCAAGACGTCCCCAAATGCCCGGTTGCAGGAGAAAAGAGTAGAAACCACAGCCCAAAGAGGCACCGCAGCCACGGTGGCTGAGAACCGGCCACCAAACTATTTACACTCAGTCCAGGCCCCCTCGTGCGTGGCCCGGGCACACGGGCAGGCTGGGCATGGCACCACAGGGAAAAAGAAGAGCGTTCACCCTTTGGAAAGAACAGACAAGTGGCTCCAGAGCCCGAGACCCACAGACGGGACGGACAAACGGCATCAGCCCCCGCTGGCCGTGACGGGGAAAGAGGGCAGATGGAAGAGGGCGCTGGCTGGGATCGATGTCTTTTATAAATAAGCTAAAGCTGATCAGTTTATTCACAGGGCCAGGGCTCCAAGGCGTTGCCGGACTCAAAGCCTCAAGCCTGAAGCGTGTCCCAGGCCTGCTGTGGAGGAGGCTGCAGGGCTGACCCCCCCGGGTCCCACAGGCGGGCGCGCTGCTTCCAAACGGGCTCCTGGCGAGAGCCGAGCTCCGCTGGCCCAAACGGAGCCGCTGCCGAGTGACGGTCTCCGACACCGTGCAAGAGGGAGACCTGAGAGAGCAGCCGCTTCCTCCCACCACTGCCCACAGGCCAAACTGCAGCCAAAGCCACCCAGGACACCGGCTGCGCCCAGGAAAGGGGCTCTGCAGGCAGCAGGTCCCCGGAGCAGTGCTTCCCCGCGCGGCTCACAGGGTGCTCTCCAGCGTGTTGTAGTTGTCCTTGAAGCTCTTCAGCTCCAGGAAGTGTTTGGCACGTTTGCTCTTCTGGCTAGAAGGCAGGTAGGTGACCTGGATGGTGGCGGGGTTGGAGACCTCAGGGGAGAGGGTGAGGTCCTTGGCCGCCGACTGGTGCTGCCGCTGGCTGCTGCCTCCCCGGGCCTTGGTCCTGCAGGGACAGAAGAGGCACCGTCACAGCAGCTCGGCCACCGTGTGCCTCTGCCAGACACGAGGCAGATCTGCCCCCAGGACAACGGCGGTTTCGAAAACCAAGGCTGGTGCCTCTGCAGGTGCCAGGCCCCAGAGCCCACACAAGGCCCCTAAGCGCAAGCAGGAAGGTGACTGTGACCAAGTAACAAACCCAAAAATGCATGAACAGGAGGAAATAAAGGAGAAAATTCCTTCCTTCCTGTAAGGAGGAAATAAATCTGGAAGGACAGACAGGCATAAGCAGCCCACGTCTCAGAAGTTGGGTTATGCCCCCAAACCCATCTCTGTTCCCATCTCCACAAAGGGCTGCTGGGGCCCAGGAAGCCACTGCTGCCCCCCAGCCACACCCCGGGCAGGAACACTTACAGGTTTGCCAGCTCGTTCAGAGCATCCTGGTACTTCAGATATTCCGGTTTCCCAAACACCTGGATGCAAACAGAAAAGAGAGTGGAAACCCCAGCCAAGATCAGAGGGTGACCTCAGTCCAGCCATCAGACAGGAGCGTGGGGGCAGCCCCCGCTCTGCTGCGGGCACCGGGTGACGTGGTGCCAGCACTTACCCCCGTGCCGTAGCGGGCACTCTCGTAGCCATCCAGCAAGGTGTCGATCAAGGCTTTGCGGATGCCTTTGAAGGAGCTGGAATTCCGCAGCTCCAGCAGGTAGGCACAGAAGTTCTTCCCTATCAAAGACTTCGGGTACCGGACCTCTGCTTGAAAGGGGATTTCTGCAAAATGAAAAGGCACGACACAACTGGCTGAGGCGCGGGTGGAAACGCTTGCCTTCTCCTGCAGACGTAACAAGTTGGTGGGTAATTAAATTTCCCACCATATCTCCCAGCTGCTCTCAATGTGTGAGCAGAGCAGAGCGAGCAGAACAAGTGACTGCTATTCCCAAAGGAGGACCTTGAGTCCTTCATGGTCTCTGGCCGACGACTGCACCCTTATTTCCTCCACACACACCCTCTCTCTCCACCCTCCCTCTCCCGCTCCTGCCCTCTGCTCCCTTACCAGACGTCCTGATGGCATCCAGCGCCTTCATCCTGTACAGGTAGTTATAGCAGCCTGGCAAAGAGAGAACCCAAACTGAGAGCTCTGCACAGCTCGGCAGCGGGAGGGAAGTGGGGAAAGCCGACAAGCGCAGAGACACCATCTCACGGCAGCTGCCAAACAGAATGGTATGGGGGCGGAAGGGACCTCTGGAGATCATCTCCTCCAACCCCCTGCCAGAGCAGGGTCACCCAGAGCAGGTCTCCTTGCACCCAGAAGCAAGTTCTTCCCACAGGAACTTGTCCAGGCGGGTTTGGAATGTCTCCAGAGGCAGAGACTCCACCACCTCTCTGGGCAGCCTCTGCCAGGGCTCCGCCACCCTCAAACGCGACGCTGTGACACCAAAGAGGCCAGTGACACAGCTCGACCCCAGGAAAACAACTGGCTGTAGCAGGACAAGCACTGGATGGTGTCTCTGGTGGCTGCGAGAGACGGTACCTTGTGTCTCCAGCTGCAGAAGCCTGCTGTCGTCCTCAGCTAACAGCCGGGGCTCGTACTTGATGTCTTGCACCCTTGACAGTCGAATGTCGATTTCTTCCTTTAAATCCTGCACAGCAGGGGGGAAAAAAGAGCCATTTACAGAGCACTCGCTTTGTTTGGGGGGGTCACAAGAACAATGACTCTCATACCCAGGGGCCCTCTGAAATAAACCTGCTCCCCGTCCAGCTTCCCAGCACCACACCAAGGTGGCAGCTCCTGGAAAGGTCCGAAATGGGACCTCACCTGCCCTCCCTGGGCACGGATAGTTCTGGGGGCACAGGGGAGGGAGGGAGGGCACCTCCCCACCACGGGGCCCCCGCGTACCCACCTTGGGGGCGTGCTGTCCCACGGGCACGTGGGGGCCACGGCGGGACTTCATGGCAAAGCGCATGATCTGGCGTTTCACGAAGATGAACAGCAGCACAAAGACCTGGAGCGTCACAGCAGGGACGGGGGTCAGGGATGCCGGGGATGTCCCCACTGACACCCAACCCCCCCGACACTCCAGGCCGAGCAGCCATCAGGCCCCACAGACCCCCCCCCCCAAGCCCAACAAGCTCAGGGGTCCCTGTGCAGCCCCTCCAGAGCCCCACAGACACCCAGGCCAGCCCCACAAACACCTCAGCCTCCACAGAGACTCCTACCCACGTTCTCTCCTCCCCACGGGCACCAGGACCCTATGGGCCCTTCAGCCCAGCCCTGAGAGCCCCGAGCTCCCCATGAACACCCTGCGACGTGTCTCACTGCAATTTTACCCACACCCCGGGACGGGCCCCATGGACAAGCTGGGATATGCCCCACAGGAGCCCCACGGACACCCCGGGGCCCAACCCCATGGGAGCCCACGGGCAGGCCGGGACGGGCCTCACAGGAGTCCCACGGACACCCCGGGATGGGCCTCATGGGAGCCCCACGGACACACTAGGACGAGCTTCACAGAGCCCCACGGACACCCCGGGATGGGCCTCACAGGGGCCCCACGGACACCCCAGGCTCGGTTCCACGGGAGCCCCACAGACACCCCAGGCCCGCCCCCGTCCCCTGGGCGCTCCCCGCCTCACCAGGCTGCCATAGGCCATCACCAGCACCACGTTGACCCCAGAGAGCCAGTTGCTGCCGGCCCCCGCCATCCCCGGCCCGGCCCGGCCCGGGGCCGCACAACATGGCGGACGGCCGAAGCCGCTCCGCGCCCCCACCACGTGACCAGGGGAGAAGGAGCAGCTCTCACGTGACCCCGGCGCGTCACTTAACGCGTGTGCCCGGCCAGAAGAGCGCCCCCTGCCTGCCCGGCCGCCCCTCCCCGCCTCGCACGCGTCACGTGGGTGAAGCCGGGCCTGGCCCCGCCCCCGCGCCCTCGTCACGTGATGGGGGCGGGCGCCGCTGGTAGTTGTCAGTGTGGTGAGACCCAGGTAAAGTTGCTGCGCGGCGGCGGCGGCGGCTCCGGTAACCGCGCGCGGCCCCTTTAAATCCCCTCCCCCCTTCCCGC